ACACGGAGACGTAACAATATGTATATTGTAAGTGTGTAATATAAGCATGCACATTTATTATATTTCCAGAAATGATTCCCACAACCAATAAATATAAATTCCCATTTCCAGGATTGACTCCCCAAAACAAAAAAAAATCATAGTGTAATACTAATACTACAGCATGCAGACACCCTGGTTTACTAGAACTTAAACTTAAGTGTAGCAGAAATTATGTCATGCACCTATGTATTTCTGTGGATTTTTCAATGATAATTATATTTTTATGGCTGACTTTTCCAAAACAAATCGTCATCTCTGTTAAACTATATATATATAAATCTCCATTTCAATAGTACTACTGAAGAGGGTTTTGGAATTTCTTACTTGAACTTTTTTATCTTTATTTATAATTTTATGTTATTTTCTATAGTAAATTGTGCATGTGTAATTTACATATTGTATTTCTTTTTATTTTTATGGGGAAAAAATGTGCTTATTAATATTACTAAGAAGTAAGTTGTGAATAGTAGTAGTAGCAGTAATACTAAAAAGTGAATTACACCTATCTTTAAAATGATTTTTCGTTACGGCGTTACTGTTCTTTCACAGTCTCAAATAAAACTAGTATTTATAATATAAATTATAAGTTGTAGACCCATACCGTAAAGAATCGTTAAAAATCAGCACACAATGAATATCCATCTCAGAAAAGTTTACCTGTTTTGGGGTACGATACCAAGTATATATCATCTTCTTTGGCCTCAAAATTGGATACTTTGCTTTCCAAAAATCTTAATGCAAAACTTGGGAGACTGAAGTGGTTATAATAGTAAACATCGAACGTTTCTGCTAAACTTGGATCAGCTGAACATACTTCCATTCTTAACTATAACTTCAAGTATAAATTAACTTAGTTATAAGTCTAATGGATAATCAGTGAAAGCTAGGGCCTATAATATAATATTAAATCGTTTAACGTATTGACGCTACCATCCAGATTCAATCTCAAACCTGATTAATAATAATATACTGTTAAAGCCGTTATCGAAGGCTTTCTCATCAACTAGTAGTAATACAGACACGTATCAAGACAGTGATACAGCCCAATTAATCTAATCTTCACAACGTGAAAAACAATCCAACCCTGACCTATGTGATAACGACGAAGTGCAACACTGCCAAGTGCTAATACACATTATCCAACAGCTTGAACACAATAATAATAATAAAATCACTGCATCCTGGAACAAGCAAAGATTTCCTTACTTGATGCTTTTATCAGCACGTACAGATCTGACATTAATTCTCTCTACTTCGAAAAAATCTACAGAAAGAAAAACTTATCCAAAGAAGAAAAATATACTTAAAGTTTACCATCATTATACTTATAGAAACGCAAAACAATGTGATTAAACCATACGTCATGAAACTTATTGAAAGGTGTTGTCGTCGTTTGGAAACGTAAATTATACATTGAAGAAGGATTAAAACTTTCTACACTTAAGTCCATGATGATCCTACCCCATCATTCTAACAGACTATCAATTAAAGCAATTAAAATCTTATTTGCCCAAAACGATCTTCATCCAAATGCCGTTGATTTAATTATCCAATACCCAAAATGCTGCCATTTTATATTCTGCCAAAGATACACAAGCCTAATAACCCAGGTTGCCCAACTGTCCTGCTTATAGCTGTTCCACAGAATCAATATCTAGATTATTAAACCTCTTATTCGCCAATTTCCATCATTTGAATAAGCTAGCACTAACGTACTCAGTATCTTATATAATATTACACGTTCTTAATATCCTACATTATTGTTACGTCTCTGTGTTCGTTTGTTAATTTTCCGTAGAAATTATTTCCGAAAAACTTCAGCAATACAAGTATTTTCTTTAATAAAACTAGTTTATTCTTTCTCAATACAACTTTGCAATACACTTAATTTCCACAGTCACTTTAACTTAAACAAACGCTATAATTCACAACGAACGATTCACGCACTCTACCT